GTGTGTGTGTAGGGTGTGTGTGTGTGTGTGTGTAGGGTGTGTAGGGTGTGTGTGTGTGTGCTTTACACCCTGGGCTGTGTTTTTTTAACATCTCTGTTTTGTCCTGCCGGGAGTGTAGAGGGTGGACACAGAACTGTTTCTTTCTTTCCTTTCTTCTTCTTCTTCTTCTTTTTTTTTTAAGATTTATTTATTTATCCTAGATGCAGGGAGGGGCAGAGGGAGAGGGAGAGCCTTAAGCAGACTCCACCCTGAGCACGGAGCCCAACACAGAGCTTGATATCACAACCCCAAGATCATGACCTAAGCTGAAACCAAGAGTCGACTGCCCAGTCAGTTGCGCCACCTAGGCCCCCGGATACAGAACTGTTTCTAAGAGGATCTTCTGGAAGGGGTATGGGACTGCTCTGCACTCCTTTGGGATCAGATATCTAGATCCTGTCTGGAGGGGCAGCTTTTGGGAAGGTGCTTAGTAGCAGTTCTACTGGAAGCCATTCTAGACAGAATAGAATATGTTATGATAACACGGTTTCTAAATAATGAAAGGTTTTTTTCCAGGGGAGGGGCATTTACTTTATGAAAGATCAAGTCAGAATGTTTTTTCCCCTCTAAAACACATCATTCATTATTCTTTTTATATACTCTTAGGTCATATTTTTTGCAACTCTGGTATCTGAAATGCTACAAAAATGCATTTGAGTCATTGCATTGATTTTTTTTTTTTTCAATCAAGCATTACTATGATATAATCTCTTTTTAGAAGCTTGGTGAATTCTTCTTGGATCTTTTGACTATGTTCTACTTTTTAAATGACTCAGTGACTTGTCCTTTTTCCTATCAGCAATTTCACAGGATGCAACAGATATGGCAGTGCATTAGGAATCTGGTTTTGTCTGTCTTTCCCTCTTTCAGTGACAGTGCCTTTTTCCCTTGTTAAATTTATGACTCTTCTGGGACACCTGGGTGGCTCAGTCGGTTAAACATATGCTTTCGGCTCAGGTCATGATCCCAGTGTCCTGGGATCAAGTCCTGCATCGGGCTCCTTGCTCAGCAGGAAGCCTGCTTCTCCCTTTGCTGGCCACTCCCCCTACTTGTGCTCTCTCTCTCTCTAACAAATAAATTTTAAAAATCTTAAAAAATTTTTTTACAAGTCTTCCATTTCTCATCCATCTGTATCTTTGTTCTCCTCTTGATCCTTTAATTCCTGGTTCTGGGCACCCTGGCTCCTGCCCTCCTTTGCTCCTCTCAGGGTTGGCCTTCAACCCCGTTTTTTCCAGGTACTTCCTAGGTGAGTTGTGAGTGTGCTCTAAGACTCTGATCCATGTTTTACCCTCTTTCTGCAAGTTCTCATTGCTCTCTTTAGGTAGGGAAGCAGGAAGTACAAACTTTACTGGGCAACCGGGCTCCTTTCCTTTATCTTCACACAAAGCCTGCCAAAGTGTAATCTCACCTTCTACTAACATGTTAGGAGCCCACCCTGCCTCTGAAGCCTTGTGATGAGAACCATTTTAGTTTTATGGCAACCAAGAGGCTGCACGTGCACTGCTTGCTCTGTGAACTGAACTTGCTGCACATTTGGGGAAGCCACATGGGGAAACTGACTGTGTTTTCTGCCTTCTGTTGACAGACTGGTACACGAAACTTCCAGGACTTTGACTGTCAGGTAAGGACTGTACAAGCACCAAAGGGGGGCTATGTACAGGATCTCTGCAGTGCTTCCCTCCCTGTCCTGGTGGCCTGTAGAAGTGGATCTCTCTTCATAGCTAATCATAACTTCTTCATGTTCTTTTGGTCATTAGATCAAGTTTATTTAAAATGATTTGCTGTCGTGTTCAAAAATTGCCTGCCAGGTGCCTGTTTTATGGTTGTAGGTTACTGGGTTGAACTGTCATTTTGTGATTAAGATCTCCTCTCCTCAAATGATATTGGAAACCTCAGTCACAGGTGTTAAATGGAGGGTTGTCACTTCGCTGCAGAGAAGGTGGGGGAGGGGCAGTTTGGAGGGGAGACTTATCAACAAAATCTTTTTCTTACCTTTTTTTTAAGTTTTATTTATTTAAGTAATCTCTAAACCCAATGTGGGGCTCGAACTCGTGACCCCAAGATCAAGAGTCGCATGCTTCTTTGATTGAGCCAGTCAGGTGTCCCAACAAAATCTTTTTCTAAAAGAAAAAGACAAATTAAGCATTATTAATACAAAATGCAGATTTCCTTTGGCTTTATGCTTGTAGATGCAAAATTCAATTTGACTCATTAGTATTTAATTAAATGATATTGTTCTTCCTAGTTGCTTTTGCCTTTATCTGTGTTGCCAATTTGAAAATCAATGAAATGAACCAGCATCTCTCCATCTACCTACTTTATCTATTGACTGGCCCTGAAAGAAACGGGAGGAAGGAGTGAGTACATGGAAATGAGAACCTTATAACCATGCAGCCTGACTGTCCTACTTTGGGGATGGATATCATAGTAGTGGCTATTAGAAGCAACATGAAGTAGGGGCGCCTGGGTGGCTCAATTGGTTAAGCTACTGCCTTCAGCTCAGGTCATGATCCTGGAGTCCTGGGATCGAGTCCCATGTCGGGCTCCCTGCTCAGCAGGGAGTCTGCTTCTCCCTCTGACCCTCCCCCATCTCATGCTCTCTTTCTCTCTCTCTCTCTCAAATAAATAAATAAAATCTTTAAAAAAAAAAAAAAAAAAGAAGCAACATGAAGTAGACTCAGAGTACTAGGCAGGGAAGGAAGGTGCTGGAAAACCAACTTCCTTGCTTCCAGGATTCAGCCAACCTGTAAATGCATATGCAGGTAGTTACTTTTATTTTATTCTTAAGATTTTATTTATTTATTTATTTGAGAGAGAGCATGAGCAGAGGGAGAGGGAGAAGTAGATTCCCTGCTGAGCAGGGAGCCTGATGAGGGGCTCAGTCCCAGGACCCCGGTATCATGACCCCCAGCCGAAGGCAGAGCTCAACCAACTGAGCCACCCAGACACCCGCAGGCAGATAGTTATTTTTATTTTATTTATTTGACAGAGAGGGAGCACAAGCAGGCAGAGCAGCAGGCAGAGGGAGAGGGAGAAACAGGCTCCCTGCTGAGCAGAGAGCCCAACGTGGGACTCGATCCCAGGACCTTGGGATCATGATCTAAGCCAAAAGCAGACGCTTAACTGACTGAGCCACCCAGGCATCCCCAGATAGTTATTTTTAGATAAGCATTTTTATATTAAGTACAGTGGTGTCTCTCTATAGCATTAGCATTGAAAGGAGGAACTAAACCAGTTACATCATCATAATGTATTAGGTGCCTGCTATAGATAGTAAGCATACATCATCTCCAGTTCTTGGAGCACTGTCATAAGGTGGTTTTTATTTTTTTTGTTTTACAGATGAGGAAATTGAGAATCAGGTTTCATAACTTGCCATTGGGTAGAATTGCAGTTGCAAAACCCCACTCTTCCTGGATCCGTAGCCTGTTTTTTCCAACCTGGAAATGTCTAGAACTGAGAAGTTTTTAAAGAGTTGAGTTGTTCTTAAAGCTGAAGTTCTTTAACAGAACAGGTGTAACTTATTTTGTAAGGGGCAGGTTCATAGCATCGTCACAGATTTCTGAATCCCAGTGTCAAACACCTCTTGGTCTGACTATTTGGTACTTCATATATACAAGAGAATCAACCTAGTGATGTTAAAGAATCACTTGCTGTAGGTCCTTTACTCAAAAAATAAGTCATTTTTGGATAAGTAGTGGCAGTCAAGTTTGGGTTTACTTGTTTTTAATTTTTTTTTTTTTTAAAGATTTTATTTATTTGACAGAGACACAGCGAGAGAGGGAACACAAGCAGAGGGAGTGGGAGAGGGAGAAGCAGGCTCCCCGCTGAGCAGGAGCCCGATGCGGGGCTCGATCCCAGGACCCTGGGATCATGACCTGAGCCGAAGGCAGATGCTTAACAACTGAGCCACCCAGGCGTCCCTGTTTTTAATTTGATCTAACTTCAGTTATGGTTTGGATCTAAGTTGAACCAGTTTAATTTGACTGTTGTTAATATCTGATATAATTTACCTAGAAGGAGATCGTTTGAGAGAGTATGACAGTAAAATTCAAGGTAAAGAATTCCAGAAATAGAATACTTCTACTTAAAAGTATAGAAATGGGGTGCCTCAGTGGTTCAGTCGGTTAAGCGTCTGTCTTCAGCTCAGGTCATGATCCCAGGGTCCTGGGATCAAGTCCCACATTATGCTCCCTGCTTGGTGGGCAGTCTGGTGGGGAATCTGCTTCTCCCTCTCCCCCAGCCCCCACTCATGCATGCATGCTCTTTCTTTCTCTCTCTCACAAAAATGAATAAAATCTTTAAAAAGAAAAAAAGTATAGAAGCATTGATTTTCACCAAATTGAGTACCTCCACCCCCCCAAAAAAAAAATTAAATATAAAAAAATTACAAGCTCAGGGTGCCTGGGTGGCTCAGTCGGTTGGGCATCTGACTTTTGATTTCAGGGTCCTTGGATTAAGCCCCACGTCAGGCTCCATGCTCAGTGGGGAGTCTGCTTGGGATTCTCTCTCTCTCCCTTTGCCCCTCCCCATTGCACGCTCTCTGTTTCTCTCCCTCTAAAATAAATAAATAAATCTTTTTAAAAAATATATACACTCACTAAAAAATAGATAAGAAAAAACAAAAAGTAAATCAAAATTACTTGTTATTTCACTAGTGTTGCTATTTGGTATATATCCTTTATGATTTTTTCACACATAAATATACTTAGATATAAATGAAATTGAGCTTTAGAAATACAATTATGAATCAGTTTTTTAAAATTGAGGCTTAAAAATATTCTGGCAAGGGGGCACCTGGGTGGCTCAGTTGGTTAAGTGACTGCATTCAGCTCAGGTCATGATCCCAGGGTCCTGGAATCGAGTCCCGCATCGGGCTCCCTGCTCTGCGGGGAGCCTGCTTCTCCCTCTCCCACTCCCCC